TCATAAGTTCATTTTTTTCTGTTTACTCAAAAAGTCTATAAGGGGTTTCCAGTCAGCAATAAACATAGATATTGTCTTTTCTCTGATCAAAGAAGTCAATTTGTCTATCTCAGCCAGAGTGTTTTTCTTCAGTAGGTTTAAATTATAATTGTACTTCCACTATAATGAATACATTGGCTCAGTCCAGAAAGAGAATATGGAGATCACCTAGCCTGGATGTTCCTGTATGACAACGAATACTCTCAAGTTCGTAGGAACCATAAACCCTTGCCATTTTTGTAGTACAGCAAACCTAACGCAACAGAAGCTGAGGTTTTCCTTGTTTCAGCACATGGAGCCTCATCATGGCCTGTCGTGTTGCCTAGTTTCTTGACACTTGAGATGTTACCTCCTCAGATTGTGATACTAGATCTTTCAGGAGCACATGGCCAGGCTCAGCAACAGGAGGTCTCAGAAAAGGTCACCATTTACAGCTTGGTTCTCATTTAGCTGTGGCTCAACATCTCATTCTCAGACAGCCTAGGAATATTGGAGTTTTCTTGGTCAAAAAGGCAATCAACCAGATTGTTCAGTCCATTTCCTTATTTTCTTTCTCTCTCCTATGGAACTCTGTAGGATATGAAGTATTATGGGGCTTCTGAATATGGGAAAGAACAATTTGCTTTGGGATTGTTTTATCAATGAAAAATAGGGCAGACAACATAAATAAAATTAAGATTACATTAGAAATGATGCTGTCTTCACCATGGTGGTGCATCCAGATGTGCTCAGCTAGAGATTTCAGAATTCCTGTGGTTTGGAAAAGCTGCTATTCAGACTGGGCTGAATTCTTCTCTACCAGAGAATGACTGCAAAACACACTTCTGGGGATGCTCAACTGGCACTAGAACAATATGCATTTTCTCTTTTGCACGCACCTACACTTATCTCTTCTGCAGCTGATGAAAGGATTTGTCTGTAGTGTTACCTCTTTTCTTATGATTGTTAAGCTTTTACCCACCTGAAGCTTCATTAAGCAGAATAGTCTGGGAGCATTCATACTTTTTACAAGAATTCTGATTTTTAGGACTGTGGTTATTTAGAATGAAGCCAATAAGAGGGAGGCTTGTTTTGAATTTTAAGTGCTGAATTTGGAAGTGCAAACAAAGAAAAGAAAGTCTAATAAATTCTTTGGACATAACTCTGGGAAACATTCAGCTCAGCATTACAAAGTACATTTGTGCTGTTGATTGACTATAATCCTTCCAACAATTATGCCCCCCCATGGTAAATCCAAAAGCACAGTGTGTGTATTTGCACCTACACATCTGGAAAACACACAATGCCAGTGACCATGCTCTGTTCCTCTAACAGAAACCCTGTCACACACAGCTCTCTCCAGCAGGGGGCAGCATGACAATTCCACTTGTGTATTTGTGCATGTGTGTACAGTTGCACACTTGCACCTGCCTGCACAATTGTACAGCATCCATGTGTTTGCACATACACACTCAGACCAGCAGGAGCCCTTTGTGCTGATGCTATCAGGTTTCATGGAGATTGACTGACATACTTCGTCTTGTACAGATGCAAAGTACAGGCTGGGTTCCGCTGTCTCAGGACGAGTCTTTCAAGGAGAATAAAAAGTAAATGGGATCCCAGAAGGATAAAAGAGAGGTGGGAGCAGGAGTCAGGATTCCTGACTGGGAAATGAATGAGGACCATATCCGAGCGGAAGATTTACCACCTTGTCTCTCTTTCCCTCCACCACTATGCATGTCTGCTTTATACAGGTGCTGGCTTGGTTTGAAGAAGGTGAGGAGACTGTCACTGCTTTTGTGGAACCATTTGTCATCTTACTGATCCTGATTGCCAATGCCATTGTTGGAGTATGGCAGGTAAACAAACTAACCGTGTTTTGTTTCATTATGGTTTGGTGGATGGGCCACAATGGTTCACTAATAAGTCTGTGCAGTAATCCAGATTCCAAGGGAAAAGGTCATTTGGAGCATGTGTGAATGCACATGTATCTGTCAGCCGCTCCTTAAATAAAATGCCTCTTTTCCTGGGATTGCACAGGAAAAACCCGGGAAATCATGAGTCCAGGAAAAGGCACATCTTCTGTTGCAAGGGTGAAACATAAGTGCCCTGTGCATCCCAAATCCCTTTTGCCCCTTCAAACCCAGATCCCTGCACAGTCCTTACACTTAAGGGCTAATTCAGGTGTTGCCCTGGAACCAGGAGATTTAGGATCCAGTCCCTTCTCATCTACAGAAGTTTCCTGGGGGACTCTGGGCCAGTCCTCTGTCTCAGCCAACCTACTTTATGAGGTTGTTTTGTGGGAAAAAATAGGAGGGAGAACTGTACATGCCACTTTGAGCTCCTGAATGAAAGGTGGAAGATAAATTTAATAAATAAACAAACCATGCTTTAAAGCAGTATTTTTCAAACTTGGCAATTTTAAGATGTGTGGACTTCGACTCACAAAGAGTTGAAATACACACATCTTAAAGTTGCCAACTTTGAAAAGCACTGCTTTAAAGCATAATGGGTAAGTTCACAAATCACACCCAGCCAAAGCCAAACAAACCACGTTATCGTTTAATGTGATGTGTGAACCCCTCTGTAGTATGCAAAGTACCCCTCTGATGCTCAGAAACTCTAAATGCACTACAATCTGGTTTAATACTTCTTGTTCTTTAGATGGACCTTATGAATATTATCATTACTGACTGCTAGCATTATGAGATTGCTGTACTGTAACTTAGGGCTGCTCTGAGAGCAGGAAATTGCTTTAAGCAGATTGTAGGGTGCAAAAAATATCAAGGCTTAATGGAATAGGAGTTTAATAAATCAGATCCTTGGTCTGTGCCTGGGTCACGTGATGTCACGTTTCTGCTTGATTTCTTGCATCGGCGGAATGGGATGGATCTGCTTTCCCCCAGGGGCCAAGCAGTAATTGAAAGCAACAACAGGGCATCTTCATTCAGATGGGGGCCATTCTTCTTGCAGGAAAGAAATGCTGAGAATGCCATTGAGGCCTTAAAGGAGTATGAACCTGAAATGGGCAAGGTCTATCGATCCGACAGGAAGGCGGTGCAGAGAATAAAGGCCAAAGACATGGTTCCTGGTGACATTGCAGAGGTGTCAGGTAAGTGCCAGGTGGGGAGAAAGCATTAAAAGTCATGGGGATTCCCCAGGGTGAAGAAGACTAAACATAGAGTGAGCACCAGAGTCAGTTTGGACAGTACAAGGTCTCTTCCATAATCTTTAAATCCCTAAGTAGCTCATAGCTCAAGCTCCCAATTTAAATTATTAGAAATGATGCCATTGAAGATGACAGATACCATTAGTAGTGACATTCAAAACGCTTAGATAATTCTGGAGAGACTGCTCAAGAAGACTCCTCTCTCTGTGAGACCTACTCCTTGATAGAGTAGGGACAAGGTCAATTAAGTCAGAAGGGATATCCCAGAGTTCTTTTCTGCTTTCTTTTTTAGAGGATATATATTCTCCAGAAAAGGATAGTATGAGTCTCTGGTAACATTCATCAACAGCTATACTCTGTTCTAAAGAGCAGTTGCCAAGTTTCCTGCCTCTGATCTCCATCTGAGGATTTAAAAATGCTTCTGGGTTTGTTAAGCTGAAGCAATTGTTGACACAGGCATAGCATTGATGTATCACTTGTACAGTCTGTCTCAACTTGAACAGTGTTGGACCAAAGACTGAATAGTGGTAAAGAAGCGTTATCTTGTTAAACATTTGGGATGGAAAGATATTTAGCGTCAAGCAAGGATCAACCCTTTCTAAGACTTGCTGGGGAACTGTAGTGGGAATATGCAGCATAGAAGAGATTCTTCTCTGTGGGCTGAAAGGAATGAAGGCCTTTCCCACTTGCACCTAACCAGGATCACAAAAAAAACAACAACATCTTTTATCTGCTGGGTCCTGAGGATACGGCCTTCATTTTGTCCCCAGTGCACAAGTAAGACAGGCTTAAGTGATCCTTAGCTGTACTGGCATTAAAGTAGTATTGAATTCTTATTCTGTCACTGTTCAAGGATAGCTTCTAGGTATGTAAAATCTGTTTGGTTTTGTTATCCATAATCATTGGAAGGAAATAAGGTGACTGCAGTGACTTGAAACAGAGGCAGTTCAAGCAGAATGAGGATTGGCAGTGTAAGTTGCAATTTTGTGCTGGTTTAGTTGTCTGCAGACTTAAAAATTGGCGGAGAGCAATTTAACTCAGCCATGGGAAAAAGCCCTCAGTGAGAAGGCTTTTATCACAGAAGAGAAAGTTATACTGAGGTACAGTTCTCCCAGGGAAATATTAAGGAAAGAATGTCCTCTCTGTTGTTCAGAGTTTATCAAATTCATTGGATGAATATCCACCAGGAATGAATTAGAGGAAGGAGCTGATTTTGTTTTGAATTTCCAGTATGTAAAAAAGAAGTGTTTGGACAATGTCTATTCCTAAATGCTTGTTATGAGATAATGGATTAATGACTGCCCAGTCAAGTTTTTTTCCCCCCTGTGACAACCTATTTCTGCAAATTCCACATTAAAACTGGTGTTTTCTCCTCCTCCTCCTCCTCCTCCTCCTCCTCCTGTCTACCTCCACACTTAGAAGTCTGATTTGGCCAGCCTCTCCCTCCAGTGACATTTAGTGCAAGACTGAGAATCCCAATCCAGATGTGTCACCTACCTTTCCCCATTTCCCAAGCCACTCCAGGAGGCATCCTGTTGGGTCACACCAGAGCAGCAATTTCCCACAAGTCAAGAGAAGACTTACTCTTTTCCTTTGGGTTAGATAGTGTTTTCCTTCAGCCTCAAATCCACAGGAAGTTCTGGAGATGCTGTTTCAGCAAAATTTTTGCAGCGCACCTCTAGTCATGCCTGTCCCTTCATCATGGGGCTTGTTTACTCCTTGGGCTTGCCCTGTCTTGACCCTGGAATAGAGGCAGAGGGAGAGGGATGTTTTGGGAACAGACAGTCCCCATGGAGAGTGCTGGCTGGAGGTGGAGCAGTGAAAGCAGAGCTCTGAGGAATCCCCTTCAGTTGCACTTACTGCTAACAGCTGTCCTCAGGGTTGGGCTAACAGCCAAACCATTCCCTCCTTCTCTCTAAATTAATTTAATTCAGAGATCATTTACTCCCAGGACCAGTTGCACAAGTGTTTCCAAAATATAAAGGGCAGCCGCTCATCCATCCATCCATCCATCCATCCATCCATCCATCCATCCATTCATCCATCCATGTATGTGATGGAGCGGAGCAGCTTCCCTCAAAATGTCTTGCACCCTCTTGCTTGCTTTCCTTCTTTCATACATTCACCCAAAAGGGATCAGAGAGGTTACTTCTGTGTCCCTATGAAAGGGAAACACTGCATTGCCCCAAAAAAGAGAGACACAGGCTTTACATAAAATTCATATTCTCCCATTTATGTATAGTGAATAGGACAAAGAGTCTGGGGAAAAGGGTTTTGCTCTTTTGAGTCTATATATTTAGGTGTAAATTTTGAAAGGAGTGTGTTAATTTAAATAGAATGCAAGACATCTTACCATTGCAGCCAAACAGGCAATATGTTAGCTGCAGCTTTGATGACATTTTTTGGTACGCAGCTACAGCCCCCCTCCCATTTTAGAAACGAAAGCCCTTCTATGTGGACCATTCCCTCTAAAATAGGACCTCTGCCCCCCACCCATCCTAATCCACCCCAATTTCTGGAGAGTTAAAAATCCAATGGAAAATTAAAAATCTAGCTCAAATATCAATAAAATAATGCAGTTTGTCATTTAAATCAATTTCCCAAAAACTAGAGATAAATGTTTCCCTGTAGTGAGAATGCAGGACTAGAAATTCTCACTCTCTCCAATGTCTCATTCTTTTTAATATTGAATGCCCAGCTCCTTAATCATACTACTTTATGTTGATCCTGGCATCCTTAAAAATGTGTCCATGAAAAAAAATTCCTAATATATTTGCCGAGCATCTTAGCTTTAGCAGTTACCAAGCAGGGTATTAAGGTGACAGTATTTTCCTGCTTTTATTTCTCATGCTAATTACTCAAACAGAGAAACTGTTTCTATACATAGATGCTCCATTCTTGATCAGGACATTGAATAGCTCTTGTCTGGCCCAACTGTCATTCATGATTTTATCTCCTCCTTCCATGTGCTTCAGGTGACCAAATGCCAAGGGAGGACACACCCTTGTGTCTTCAAGAATTGCCTAAGGAGAGAATTCATTTCCCAAAATTTCTTCTTAAATGTACTGTCTCCTGTGCATCTGGCCTCTGCTAACTAGCATCACAATATATATATTAGGAGGGAATTCGATGAGAGAGAGAGAGAGAGAATGTTAAGAAGTCAAGATCCTTGAAGGCCTGCAGTGAGGAATTTAACAAAGAGATCATTCTGAGAAGGAGCTTCTGCAGCTTGACAACTCTGAATAGTTCATTTTTTCTTTTCCTTTCTTTTCTTTTTAATGGCTGCTGGCCATTAGCATCATTTCTGGGGATGTAGGAACATAGTCGTTGTCACCTCTCTCCTAGTCTGGCCTGGCCTTGAGTTCCCCTCCCTGCCTAGGGAACCCATGACCTCTCCATCTCCTTGAAGAAGAGAAGGCAATGAAGCGATGGAGAGTGCCCAGCAACCAGCTTCGCCTTGTATGGACACTGGCAGGCAGCTGGTGATGCCTCGGGAATGTGATGAGGCAGGCAAGGAGGGGGAGAGAGAGAGACACTTAATGCGCTGGTGGAAAAGCGAGCTGGGGTGCATGGGGACATCTAGGGTTACTGTGCCTGGTCAGATGAAAGGGGGACAGGCGAAGGGGAAAACCACACCGGGATGCTGCCTCTGGCCACCTTAGAAGCAGGGCAAAAAAATCACTTCCACCCTACCCGCACCTTACATTCTTCAGTCCAGACATACCCCTTACAATTGCCTACCTCCAAGAAAAAACTGGAACTTCTGAAGGTTTTCCCTGTATTCCAGAGCAATATTTCTTTGTTTAAGCTCCATATGCAATAGGTATGACCAGGTACCTGGTAAATAAGCAGAGTCTCATGAACTGCTTTAGTATGGCATAGGGTTGTGTTTGCTTTTAAATAGCTTTGCTGTGAGGGATCTTGGGGGAGGTTAGTGAGGTGAGAGACTGAGGAAGCCAACCTGAGTTGACTGTGGGCAAGTGACTTAATTTAAAAAAGAAAAACAGAGAACATCTTAAAGGGGAATGGGATCAAGGGAACACAGAAAATCCCAGAATTATTTCTGATTGAGCAGAGAGAAATTGAATTTTTCTCAACACAGCAATTTTGTCACTGCCAGGATTAAAGCTTGGAACCATATTTAAATTGCTATATGGCTAAACTGGGAGAGATTCACACAAAAGCAAGCATCCTCTGAAAATTTACACTCTTCTGGTTTCAAATGCTTCACTGCAATTGATTGCATGTTGCTTCTGCCACTTACGTTGTAACCCAAACATGTTTACTAAAGAAATAAGACTTTGTGTAGTATAACTGTATAACAATAAATAAACCAACATTACTTCCCATTTTTAATGAATTCAAGTAGCTCTAATCAACTAATGGAGAGAGATGCCAAAACTGGTATTAAAAATACCAGCAAAAACTGGCCAATGACTTGAACGTAATTATAACTAGGCCTAGCAATATAATTTTGAAATTTAACTGATGGAATTCCTTGCAGAATCAATAAAAATACTTCTTAGGAAAAGTGGGTCTTATTTATTTGTAATGCAGAGGGAAATTTTTCAAACTGCAAGGAGAAAAAAATGCTCTTAAAACTGCATAATACAATAATATATGCTTAATGCAAAACTATAATATTATGAGAGGTTAAAATTTCTTAAGGCACTTACCTGGGGGGCAATCTCACAGAACTTTGTGACATTTATTTACCAACTGACACATGTAGGATTGCGCTATTAAAATCCTTCTCCATGCCATCTGGTTCTTCACAGTTAATAGGCTTTTAAAAAATTCAGGAACCAGAATCCCTAAGCCCCATTTTTGCAAAAGGCAGGAATGAACTGTTTTGCCACCATAATTTGTTGTTTCTGTGAGCAAAGCTTAACCAAACCAAACCAAATCAAATCTCTATTACGGTCATAGACCAGCATAAGCAAAGCCTAACATTGGCTGAGACAGAGAATATTCTCAGAATGCTAAAAAGAGACTTTGCTTCTCAAGACTATACAGGCAAGTTTGTTTTATCACTGTTGCCTTGGGCAACATGATTAAAAAAAGTTCCCTAGAAGATAAATAGTAGTTTACCTGTTTCTGAATTGTAGTGGCATAGAAAAAAGAATTCTGGGAGATTTAACTTATATGGCGAACTTCATCCACTGAAATTCCTTCTTCAGAATTTGGTCACCTGACTCCAATGAGAAATTTTCCTCATTCAAACTATCTTCAGTTCCATGTAAATAATTTTCTCTGTCTTTAGACTTTAAATAACCATGCTGTTGCCATGCTATTGATGACCCTGGTTGACTGAGCTCTTCAGTGGTCCTCTGTCCATGAAGTGTTCAGATTTGACACTATCTTCTACTGCCCTCCAGTGTCGGGCTCATGCACATCTCGACTTTTTTTTGGTTCTGACCCAAGTCATTCTGCTGTCTGAAGCAAAGGATAAGACAGCTTGCACCCCTTAGAAACCATTTGGATTGGCACTTGAATTTCATCTGAGGATAGTAGACTTGCTAAGGCAGATGCAGCCTGGGATGAAAACCTTCTCCTTTGATAGAAAGGAACTGAATCCTTCACGGCCTTAGACCAGCTCTTTGCTTTGCCTACAGAAAGGGCTGCCCACAGCTCTGTTCACAGTGGAGGGATGCCTTGTGCAACTTTCTTAGCTTAGTCCCTAGCATGGTCAATCGTAGGGTGGGACAAGGGTGAGCAGGTGACATCACATGCTTCATGAGGTCATCATACAATTGTCACACTTTATAAGCTACATGCTGTTTGCACCATAATATGACTGATGGAAATTACATCATTTGCACAATGACATCATGGAGTGAGTGACATCATTGTAGCATCTACTGGACATCTGTGAACCCAGGTGATGGTTTTGGTTGTGGCTGGGTTCACATAACACAGACTAAAATTAGTTTGTTGTGCAAACCCAGCCAGTAGCGTTACTTTGTGACCCAGTGGTTGGACATACACAATACATTTAACATGGTTAGGGAATTAACCTATTTTCTGAGTTTACATAATACATTGATCTATAAATGAACTAAATGGGTTGGGTTTTGCACAGCATGCTAAGTCTGAAGAAACAACTTAAAGTTAAAAATTACCCAAGCTTAGTACACTGTGCATATGCCACCACTAGATTTTTGTCTGACCCGGTTGTGCTAATCCAGAAAATTGGATTAATTCAGCAAACTGTAGTTCACTTAGCCATGGCTTAGCATATAGGGCAAACATAACCTGTTTGTATATGTGTTTGTGTAATGTAATAGATACAAGATGAACTTTGGTCTTTCAGTTTAAGCCACACTCATCTTCCTCTTAAGAAGCTGCCATTCTAGAGAGTGTACAAAGAAGTGTTACTTGCTTCCAGAGGATTCAGTGATTGGATGGATTACAGTATTATTCTTACTATTAATATTCTGTTCTGGGCATTGCCTTCAACATGCCTACAGCACGTACTTCGGCAAAGCTGCAGCAGGTCTTTTCTAGGACTCATAATTCAGTTTCATGTCAGCATCAGGACAATTCTCATCCAGCGCAAATGCAGCTGAATCTTCTCAAGAAAGGCTAGACCACAAACAGTCTGTGCAACTTTAGCAACTATGATCCATCCTGACTCTGCTTCAAAAACTGCACTAAAATTTGCAATAGCTTTTAGTGTATTTCCCCCACAAAACCCACAATGGGAATGGATTTTATTGTAAAACATGCATTATTGGTATGCATTTTAAATCTCAGGTCTACATTTTATATATATTTGTTACCTTAGTAAGCCAAGAACTGTATTTCAAAATTTAGAGATGTGAGTATCAAACCCAAAAGATACCCTCATTCCTATCTGTTTATTAGTTTGGAAAATACAAAGCATGTTGGTCTGCTCATCTCTAGGGCAGAAATATCCCTAGATAAGAGGGGAGGCCAGAATAGTGATCCAGATCCATACAGTGAGAGAATGAGCAACCTTCTCTTTGAGGTCCTGATTTCATTGGTGCCTTTCATATTTATCATGGTGCCAGGCTTCACTCAGCCATGTAGTACTGGAACCACTTAGACAAGCTCACAAGGAATCACAGGAGTCATAATAAGTAATATTTATTGAATTAAATTAGTAATATAGGCCACCAGGCACCATCATATGACCAGTTTCACCCCATTTGGGACTCATCAGAAGTGGATATCCAGATGTTATGCTATGGGGTTCAAACCCTCTACAGGTAGTTCCCAGTTTAAGAATGAGTTCCATTCCCAAGGTCTGTTCTTGAGTCAAATTTGTATGTAGTATTGTGTAATGAACAGAAACCATCATGTATTTAACTCGAATTGTCCTACAGTCATCTCTGTTCTTAACTATGGGTCATCGTAAACCAGGGGTTCTTAACCCGGGGACTAACTGTACTGGGAACTGAACTCACGGACCCTCACACTTTAGATGACTATATACAGTCCATTAGTTTAGGAGCTCTCTAGATTCTAGTACTCAGTGGTTGTAGAAAAGGATACATAGAAGCTATTCTTGTATGGTACTGTATATGTTTATACCACTATGATAGGTTGAAGTAAATTAGGAATCCATAACCAAAAGCATTTCAAGAATTGCCATGATTCAAGAAGAAACCCCATAAAAACAAATTTGACACCCTCTCGCATTTCTTTTTTCTCCCTGCCGTACATAACAGACTACTTGTCTCTTTCTATTGCAAGGGTTCGCCTGTATACGTCTGTCCTTTGTTTATGCAATGCTCAAATTTGCTGTTGTCTTGTTTTTCACTGGCTGTATGAGAACTAACTCTCACATGTGCTATTCTAGCCGTTTTTTTTCATAACAATAATATGATGGTATGCCCTAGCTTCCGAACTTGGTATCTACAGTGGTACCTCTAGTTACGAACACCCCTCCTTACGAATTTTTCAAGATACGACCAGCTCCGGCCCCAAAAATTTACCCCTACTTGCAACCCCCGCCTCTACTTACGAACCGGATCCGCGGCCATTTTCCCTACTGCCACGCGGTCGCG